TTAGAAGGGTCAATGTGTTTGGATGTACGCAGGAAGTACATCAATTTGGGCAAACTGAGGGCATTGCGGATAATAGTCAAGGCATCATGGGCCGAAAGACAGGAAACACGACCCAGGGCAAATTTAAGCTCAGAGAGCTTTTGGTCAAAAAACTTTATTTGATAATCGCCCTCGACCAAGGGTGTGCCTAAAAAACTCAGTTCTGATGCACCAACTCTGGGTATTCCAGCCAGCGCATGTGGCACCTGAAATAAACTTTGGCAGTGAAGTTCGCATTTTTTAATGTTTAACTCTAGACCAATTGCAACTATCGGCCAGAGTTGGGCCGTCCGAAGCAATGCTGATATCATCCAGATAAGCGCAAACGAAAGTGGACGAAGCTTTCTCTAAGAGTGGTTGAAGAGTTAGTGCGAACAGCAAAGGACCAAGGGGATCACCCTGCTGTACCCCCTCGCACGATTCTACAACCCAAGAGTGGTAGCCAAGGAAAGAGACTCCGCCATAGGCAGAATGGCAAAAATTATAGATATTGGGGCAAAAAAGTTTGACAGCCTCCAACATCCAGTCTCTTCTCAAGGCATTGAAGGCATTTTTAAAGTCCAGTTTCAGAAACCCCCATTGATCGGGAAGGTCGGTGACCAATCTTCGAACCGCATGAACAGCGGCCTCAGCGCCACCCTTAATCCCGACACCCATCTGAGTCGGGTAGAACCTGGTCTTGAGTTCGACCACGACCAGGGCCAAGGCACATTTACCGGCCAACCTCCTCCAAACGTTTCCGACCGCAATCGGTCTGACCCCTCCGTCTTTCTTATTTAAAGCTATTAGCCGGCCTCCAAAAAAGAACTGGCGGACGGAGAGTGGGCAAGCTCCAGATAGGATCAAATTAATAAATTGGGTTAAGAAGTTCAGTGTGTCGTCAATTGGCAAGGGGCCTGAAAAAACATCCTTAAGGTGCTGGGGTCGTAGGCCATCCAGGCTTCCAGAAAAACCGTTTTTGAACGATTTAACGGCCCTCAGCACCTCGGCGGGAGAAACGCAGCCAGCCGCTGGTGTCAATACGGGAAAGACCCGCCTGTCCACCGGAATTTTTGGGTGGATGGAACATAATTTATCGAAGGTGTCCGGCGAGCTCTCCGCCAGGCCCTTCGGCGAACAGACAAGTCTGACAGCCGAGGACAGGTTTCCCTGTTCAATACAAGATGACACAGCGTTGATCCACCGATCGGGGTTGTGTTTTTGTTATTTGGCATTATTGAACCCATTAAAGCACAGTACCAGGGTTTCAAGACCAATAGTTGAATATTCGCTTAGACGCTTGTTGACCAGATTGCCCTGGTTGACCCGGCAACCCCCTCTGGAAGTCTTCTGTAAGACGTATGGAACAAAACAGGGAAGTCTAACCCAGTGAG